TGTAAATATTTTATGAAAAAAAAAACTCTTAAAAAGAGATGCAAGAGGAAACTGACAATTGTATTTACAGGAGCTGTTGCTTTTTCTCAAAATCAGTATAAATCGTCATTAAGCAATTATAAAATACTAAAGCTTAAGCAATGTATCATTATATTGAGACGCATATTTTTCACGCAGTGACACGTTTAACTCTTTTAAATGGGAAACACACAAACTACGTGGAAAAGAAACACGAATGAATTGATTAGTTATAAATGAAAGTTTGGTTATCGAATGGATAATTAACTACCTTTTTATTTACAAAATCAAAGTAAACCGTGTGGTAATGTTGTAGGTGAGACACTACGAGCTTTTCTCAGCGAACAGTAAGTATGGCGCACAGTTTCACACTTTCAATGCACTTCGATACAATAATGGAAAATTCAACGAAAGAAGGAAGAGAAACAAGATTTTGAACTATTCAATGCAGTTTACAAAGGTTTACTGACGTTTACTGCCGCCGAATTTGGAAGAGAGGGAAAACGTACCGAACGAACTCCGAGAATAGTTCACTATCCCCTCGTCTTCAACAGCCTCCCACTCTACGAATGCAGAACTATATATACATACATACACGTTCAGATTTGCTGTTCCACTCCTTATTCTTTTATTCGTTCTTTAGCTTTGCAGTTTATCACGGCGTTACATACAATCTTTGAATTCGAATGTTTTCATTTATTTCTTACGTAACTCTAGTAATTTTGGTATATCTACATTTAGATTACGAGTATGGTCCGTACGTAAACTCCTTACGTGTATATCAAGTTCGAAGTAATTTAATGTTACTCCTGATTAAATCTCGATCGATGTGCTCGTTATAGTAATTGTAATTAACTTGGCAGCTCAATATACTTAAAGTGTATATTTCTTGTTTCGTAGCCGTTACCAAAATATAGTGTATTTATTAAGGAAACTGAAAATAATTTGTTTATCATTTATTGAAAATAATGTATGTTCAACTGCAACTTTTTATTTATTTTGTGTTACGATTGTTTCACAGCTCTCAATATGTTTATTTTCTTGTTCTTAGTAATCTTGTTTATATTCGTGTTTACAAAGGACGTATTAGAATATGGATTTTTATGGATTTATTTTTTATGCACAGAATATATGCGATACGAAAAAATATATAAGATACCAATATATAAGAAGCAATTACAGTGCTTTTTATAGTATTTTTTTAAATAAAACTATTTTCGAATGTAACTTTATCTTTTTATAATAGTATTCTTAAAAATTAAATAAACTATATGATAATATAATATAAATATTAATACAAGTAATATAAGTATTATTATTTAACAGTTTAACAATTTTATAAATAAATGGATAGAATACAATAAACCGCGTTTCATCAATATACTAATTCTCTTTATTTATTATCCTTTTATTATAGCAAATACTGCTTAAAAACCATTTGGATATTACTTTTGGAATATAAAGAGAAAAATTTATCTGGGTGGAATCTTTTACATGTAACTGTAACTGTAATCGTATGAATATGTACATAATGTCAAATAGAAGTAATATAATTTACTTCTAGAGCATCGTGAACCTAAAACTTAAAGGAGCCCACAATAAAAAAATACAAAGCAAGATTTGTTTGATAACTTTACTGACAAATTTAAGGTTGGCCTTAAAATGTAAATAAATAAAATATTCTTTTTCTTATTTTATGGTCATACTCCGCTCAGGCTCTTGCATTTTCCATCACATTGAATGCTGCCACTATTCAAGATGGAAAGATAAGAAAAGACAGAACTGTAATAGCTGAGTTTGGGTGTCAAAGTGAACTGAAAGAGATCAGCACGGGAGAAAAACGAAATAAGACGTACCTACTGTATAAGGTCTATGAGAAAGTACAAAAAAACCCAAAAAGTACGTTAAGAGTTTTGAGAATCTTTTGTTAAGAATTTCTGTATGAAAATGTAATATGAATATACATATGAAAGAAATTGAGAAAGATTGCGAGGAATAGAATGAAAAGAAAGAAAGAAAAAAAGACACTGGATAAAGTAATATAATTTATATAATTTCGTATAGTGTGATCCATTATACATACAATATGTAATGTATAGTCAAAATTAGTTATGTTACACAGTTTTTCGATGGTAAACTATAAATATAATTATTAATAACTCATGTGTAATACTTTTTTTACTCTATTACTAACGTTAATATGTGAATAATTTGACTTCGTTGTTGTTATACTCCACGTGAAAATATATCCGCTTTAATTCTATTCCATTCTATAGTTTCTATTTCGAAATAGATTTTTCTCGAATTTTCAAATAAGTCCATTCGTTCTCCAGCTTTGCGAAACGTCATGTTTCAAAAGTTGAATACCTACCTCAGAGGTTTTCTTATCGATTACTTACATCAGATATTATTATCTTTTCCAAATTTCCTAAATTTTATTATTAATATTTAAATAAAAAATCAAATATTTATAAATTATATATTACATGACGTAATATACAGTAATATTATATATAATACATCATAAATAATGTATAATTATTTAAGTTATTGATGTTCTGTAAATTTTCTGTACTAGCGAGCATTTTAACCCTTTCGTTACGGCGGTTCGCCACCTCTGAACGGGACCCCATGCCAAAAGTGTACACATTTCGCGTGGACAATATATTTTCGAAGAACAGGGATTTTTCTTTAAAATAATATACTCATAATTTCTACATAAGATATAAAGATAAGGTATAGAATTATTTAATGGGTACAAAGAGTCATTAACAATTAAAAATAGTGGAAGAGTAATATGTAATATACAGTGGTATATAATATACAATAATAAAATAAAACATAATATATAATATACAGTAATAAAATAAAACACAATATATAATATACAGTGATTAATTAATTCAGAATCCATACTAATCATCCATACTAATCATCCATAACGTCTTTTTTCTTACTTTGTAAAAGGTGGGAAAGTAAACACAGTATTAACTTTATAAAATTTTGCAAATTCAAACTTTTCTATGTACATTAAAGAATTCTTTTCGAAAATAATTTTTTAAACTAAAAACTCTATTTACTTTTACACCCGTACGTAATGAAAAAGGTGTTATAGAAAATGATTGGTATGGATTCCGAAAGTAGGGGCTTCAGGTTTTAAAATGTGACTAGAG